GAGAACTTTTTAGAAAAACACACATATTGAGAAGTCCACAGTTAAACCTAATTCATTTTACTTTATATTTCATTGCCAACACAGGCAGGGTAAATGAAGGGAAAGGAAATAATGGTTTCCTTTGCTGTCATTATTTAGAAGAAACTCCAGATATAAACTAGAAAGTAATCAACCATCTTTGATGAATCTAAACATTTTAATATGTGCAACACAGCCTGGGAAAAGCAAGAATCATATCAAATTAGAAAAAAAATCCAGAAACATAAAAAATAATTTAACATTCATAATTAGTAGGAAAGAACTAAGACAACAAAGAAATTTTACTATAAACCTACCAATTTTACATTTTAGATCTAGCTCCACAGTTGTCACAGAGTTTTAGCTAACTCTTAATTAATTAACTAAATAACTAACTAGAATAGACAGAAGATAGTAGAGATATAGGAAATGATTCTTACATGTCCTTGACTTTTTCTGATACATTTTGGTCTTCACAAATACAGCAAACATGTATCTTCAGTTTTCCAAAGAAATTTCAGTTTTCTTTACCCTTATTTTTAAAAATAACTTAATCAGGTAAACATATAACTACATTTAATTAATAAGAATAGAAACCCATTGGATCTGGTGGATACTGCATTAATTTTCATATCAACCTTTTGCTTGGGTAGCCTGAAATCAAAACTAGCTTTGGCTCCAGCTCATGTCCTCGCTGGGAATACTTACTAAGTTGTATGTTACCTGGGGCTAATGACATCCACATGGGCCCTCAGGCTTTGGTGCTTTCCCCTTCTTACTCTCTCTTGCTGTAGCATTGTTCCCACAGGCTGCCCCTCTGGGGAGAAATCTCAGGGCACATTTTCTGTCCAGTTTAAAGGAGGCATGGGTGGAGAAATAAGTCAAATTAATAGCACATGTTAGAAGTCACCATCAAACCACCAATATCACGATTTTCCCATTAATGGTATCAGAGGTATCATAGAGGATGGTACAGGGCAGGAAACATCTCAGATAAGAGAGAAACAGTTTTGTTAGCAGGAATATAAGAGTAAATATGGTTAATACTTGTCGAATGATTACTAAGTCAGGCCCTGGGCTAAATACTTTACTTGCATTATCTTATTAAATTCTTGTAAGACTGATGAAAGGGAAATACACTAACAATGTTCCTACTTTATAGATGAGAAAACTGAGGCAGAGAGAGATGAAATGACTCATGCAAACAAATAATAGGAAATAACAGGTTTAAAGAGCATCTCATTAATAGACCTAAACTGTTTAACAACATATGTCTTAAAATTTGGCCCAATAGAATAACATAGTTATTATAAAACTTGGAAATTTTAGAATTCTCTTAACCCCAAATTTAAACTAGAGATCAAAGCAACCACTGATCTTCTCTGTTTTCTAGGATTTGTGTGAGATATAATATTTCAATCACCAATTTTGATTTCAAAATTATAAACCTCAATAAATTTTGGAGAAGGTAGA